CTGGATAGACTAGAGAGCTGGGCAATCACCAACCACATGAAGTTTAACAAGGGCAAGTGCCGGATTCTTCACCTGGGGTGGAGTAATCCTGGTTATACGTACAAATTGGGGGATGAGAGACTGGAGAGCAGCCCTGCGGAAAGAGATCTGGGGGATTGTGTTAACGGCAAGTTGAATATGGGTCAACAGTGTGCCCTGGCAGCCAAAAGGGCCAACAGTATCCTGTGGTGCATCAAGCACAGCACAGCTAGCCTGTCGAGGGAGGTGATTGCCCCAATCTACACTGCAGCCCCACCTCAAGTACTGTGTGCAGTTTTGGGTGCCTCAATATAAGAAGGACATCAAACCATTAGAGTGTGTCCAGAGGAAAGCAGCCAAGATGGTGAAAGGCCTCCAGGGCAAGACTTAGGAGGAGCGGCTGAGGCCACGTGGTTTGTTCAGCTTGGAGAAGAGAAGGCTGAGGGGGGACCTTATCCCAGGCTACAGCTTCCTTAAGGAGGGCAGTGGAGGGGGAGGTGCTGATCTCCTCTCTCTGGTGACCAGCAACAGGACACGAGGAAATGGAATGAAGCTGTGTCAGGGGAAGTTCAGATTGGACATTAGGAAAAGGTTCTTCACTGAGACATTGGTCGGTCACTGGAACAGGATCCCCAGGGAAGTAGTCATGGCACCAAGCCTGTCAGAGTTCAAGGAGTGTCTGGACGATGCTCTTAGTCATATGGTTTAGCTTTAGGTAGTCCTGCGAGGAGCAGGGAGTTGCACTTGATGATCCTTATGGGTCCCTTCCAACTCGAGATACTCTATGATTCTACTTGACAGATCAAAGGTGGAGAAAGCTCCTTGCCTCAGCAGAGGAGACAGAGGAGGAGGAGAATTGCAGGTCCTTAACACACAGGAACAGGAGGATATAATGGAGTGGGAGAATGTGAGAAGACCAGTAGAGAATATCTTTGTGGAACTGAGGACTATTTCAGCAGAGTGGGAAGTGCTCCAGTGCAAGGTAGCGAATTTATGTCTATGCATCCCTGCTGCTTTGGAGGGTTTTGGAGAGAGCAGGTCAAAGTGGGTTGAGAAGGAGTGACTTCTCCATAAAGAACGTAGTGGGCTTCTTCCTTGATCTGCTGACTTTTAACTTCTTCAGGCCTGGCAAAGCTCTTTTTATTTTGCTGATTGATATAATTCCTGTGCATGCACCGTCCTCCCATTTTAGGTGGAGAAAACTGAGCATGAGAAGTGTTGCCTGAAAACAGAGTTCTTGAAATGCCAACAGGAACTGGGCGCTGCTCAGAGCTCAGGAGATGGAAGGCTTGCCCTGCAGCAAGAAATACACGTGTTAGTGCCAAGCTGTGTGGCAGAAGTGGAAAGCAAAGCTGGCGAGGTCTGCAGAGGAGAAGGCTGAACTGACAGAGAGACTCAAGAATAGAGAGATGCACTTAGGGGTGCTGAGGGAGGCAAAGGTTTCCTGCAGAGGCTCAGAGAAAGAAGACGTGAAGAGGTCAGAGCTGTGGGTTGTCTGGTTGGCAGTCCCTGTCATCCCTAAGGTGGGGGGAGAGGGCAGGAGTCATCATGGGCTGCTATTTCCATAGGACACTGCTTCCCTGGTATCCATCACCCTGTTGTATAGGTAACTGGGTTATAAGTGAGGATCCTGCTGTTGTGAGGAGGTGGAATCACCAGATGAATCCAAATAATTGATCTGGCTTCAAAGATGCCCTACAGAAAGGCGCTTTGTCCATACTGTGTCTGTCCTATACTGTGGCACCTTGTTGCTGGATCCCTCACACAGTGTTCGGTCTGTAATGGAGATAATGTCCCTGGTAGCCAAACGGGTGTTAGAGGGACTGGGAGCTGATCTCTGCTGGTTGAGTCCCAAGGATTGTTATTGTTGGGGGATCTTGATTTAATACCTGGCTGGTGGAACCTGCACAGAAGAGGCTCAGTTGTCTTACTGTGCCTCTTTCCTCTTGGCTAAGGCTTGGTTTCCTGTGGTGCAGCTGACATATTGAGGGCTGTCATTCACACTTTTTAAATCTCACTTCTTCCCTAGGTGTTGCCCCCTGCATCAATGCCCTGGCCTGCTTGGACCCAGCAGTTTCGCCTGCACTGTGAAGCTGGAGACTGAAGAAAAAGGTGCTTATGGGACTACTGTCTTTCCCCCTTTTCTCAAAAAGATGACTGCAGTCCAGAGAGGAGATGGACCTCAGGAGAAAACCAGACCCTTAACAGCAAGGTAAGTGGTAGGTTGCAAGCTACTGCCCCACACCATGTTCTGTCTTCCGTCCCTTGTTTTGGGTCCATACTGAGGCCACGTGGAAGGTCTTGGTGAGATGCAGTTTGCTGGAAGGAGCCCTGGCCAGAGCTAGCGGATCTGTCCTGGGTAGTTTTCTCTTCGCTCCCTTTTTGAGAGAGGGGTCTGCAGGACTCAAATGCTCCTTCATCCTGCTGTGTCCAGACAGAGAAGGGGAGCAGGGTGGAACAGAGGGAGGAACAGAAATCCTTGCCAAGTTGGTGTTTTAAAATCCTCCTGGTTTCTGTGTATCAGTGTTAATACCTTCACACCCCTGTGAGCTAAATTCATCTCCATGCATACAGTTCTCCAGCCCCATGGTCAATCTGGATGGCAGCTGACATGACTGCCTCTCTACTGCTGGAGCATTCAGTTCTGTCTGTGAATTGGTCTGTACGGAGGACATCTTTACCCAAGAGAAGCCAGATACCTTCTGGCTTCCAGCAAGGAAGCAAGTTTCTGGCTGAGAGAATTTCTCTGGATGAGTCTCACATTCTCTTTAACTTTTTTTTTTTTTTTGGGGG